ACTATTAGTTTATATAGATATTTGTTATCAATAAATCAATTTGATATGCAGATGTTAAGAAATTAGTGGAATAAAGAATTAAAGGTTCCTATATTGTCTAGACAATGGAAGAGTGTCTTAATTTCCATAGCAAGAGTGTCAATGGACCTCAAATTACGACTTATACAACAAAAAAATAATATTTAGAATTTATTGGACTCCATTATGTTTGTATAGAAAAAGACTATCCAAAACAGCATTTTGTTGAAGATGTAATAAGGATAATGCTTCTTTAAAACACATGTTTTTACAATGCCCTGTACTTACTATGTTTTGGGAGAAAGTAATGGACTATATAAATAAGATTGGGTGACAAAAGCTAAAATTTTCAGAGGACAATATTCTCTTGAACTATATACCTAGTACATGGAATTTGACATCTGGACAACTTAAATGGATTCTCTGTGCTCTTGCTATGGCTACAAAACTGATATTGCAACATTGGAAAGATAAATGTATGGCCCCCTTTATTCAATGGATTGAAGGCCTGATTGCACTTGCCACTTATGAGCAAATTGCCTACAGACATAGACTTTGTATGGACAAGGATAATGAAATATGGGACTCATTTATACAAAATACAGTAGGTTAAAAAACAAAAACAATGATAGTTAGGGTTATATAAATGCATTATAGATTAATATATATGTACTTGAATATTATTTACATTAGATACATATATATATATATAGAATTGTAACTGTTAATTGTTATAACGATATATTATACTTTTTTTTCTTTTTTGGTTGTATTTTTTCACCTTTTTTTTAAAGCACTTTTTGTGTGTAGGGCTTTGGTTTCTCTGAAAATGTATGCATTTGCATTATAATTCTCTGTGTTTTGTTTCTTTTTTTCCTGTTGTTATTTTAAAATAAATAAATAAACAAAGGATCCAGTTTCATAGTGAGAAGGGTAGGCTGCTCATCTTTTGTCTCATCACAAACATGTTTATGATTTTTAGATGCACCTTCATGGGCCTATTTTTGAAACTTTAAACTGTTTAAGATGTGAGGCCTTATTATATATACTGTCTGAATAACATTTCTAGCTAAATCATCTGTTTTTCTAAAAGATGTTCAACATGACTTCAGGATCTCCTAACATATTACCATATTGTATTTGGGCAAATGATCCCTCTTATATTGATTTGGTTGAAAGGTTTAGGATGGAACACTCAGTTGCTGATGGGATTAACCTGTGATGGAAGATAAATTTGTTATTTTGGGCTGAAAACACTACTATGGATGGGGTGGGCTGAGATTTTGGATGATGTGGCCGTTGCAGGGCAGATAATCTAGGGACAAAGAACTGTGAATAAAGAGTGCAGAATAGTGGGTTGAAAACCTGAAAGCAGAATATTGGGTTTAGGAAGAATGTATAGAAGATTAAAACGGTTGCAAGAATGCACTACTTCTAACTCTGAAGAAACTTCACTGTATATAGCAGGAAGGACAGCAGGAAGTAGAAGAGAGATACTGAGTTTCTTGCCCAAGGAAGGAAAGCTGGTTAAGAAAAATCCTAAAGAAATGGTAACTCTGTCTAAGGACAATAATGGCTTAGTAAATTTGGGTAAATATGGTAGGTTGAATTTTACTACAGTTTGATCTAACCAGTCAGTTGTTTGTTAGCAGACTCTAGCACAGTTTGAATCTTTCCTTTTTTTAAATTGACATTTTCAGTGGTCAAGTCGAGCTAAATTCAAAGTCTTAAAAACTTGATGATAGTAATTTCACATTCCTTTTAAAAAACAGCTGACAGTAATAGCTTACGTGCCATCTTATGTAGCTTATGTAGCACAGAAATGAGAGGTACCAGTATGGTATATTTAGGAATAGCTAGTGGCCCTTTTCATAGTGAAGAACCTGCAAGTCTTTGCTGTAATAAGTAAAATGCTAATTTTCTGCATATGAGAGAGAGGGAGAGAATGGGCTGGGGGAGAAAGGCTTGACTAAGGAGGGGGAAAAAATTGCTCTCTCCAGTCATAAGTCTGGGGCACTTGAAAATTATTAGGCATTAACTAGATATTTATTTATTTATTTATTTATTTATTTATTTGGCTTGTATG